TAAAATAAACCTTCTCTAACCTGTTGCATACCAGATATATTAGTCTTGTTAGGAATATATTCTAACAGTTAGGTTGGCAATATATAAATCATGTAACAAAGTTGTACCTGTTGCTTTAAACATACTGTAAAATGTGATTGGTTGCTGTTTTCCTCAATCGGCTGTAAGAGGGAGCCAGAACGACTGTTAGCTCTCTCTCTCTCTGTTCGTTAGATGCTGGGCTGATCTGATCTGAGTGTTGTGAAAGCTGACTGTTAGAAAATGCCGTGAGCTATTGTAAGTTTAGCAACTAACAGCAAACTTTGTGTACCAGACCGATTATATGATCACTGGACTATGTTATTTGTATTATCCCTTTACTGAGAAGCGTTGATGACTGACTGAATTATCAGTGTATGACTTGGACTGTTTGATGGACTCTGATACCTCTATTTCCACGAAAGTAAAAGCCTATTTAAACTGCAGTGTCTCTGTATGCTGGTTTGTGTGTTCTTCAACACAACTCTCACAATGCTTCGCTGAACGTACTCGCTCTCCCAACGGGGAGCTTACCTAACAAGTCTACAACAGTTGTAGTGGTTTAGATGTGGACTAGTCCTTGGATTTCACCATTTCTATCCTATCCTCTGCCATGGAAGCCCTAGCTGATTTGGGATAGTCACACTGTTCCAGCTCAAATGATCTCCCAGGATTTTAATATTGGGGAAAATGAAAGGAGGGAGTGTTTTGTAGTACGTGATGGAAAAGCGGGAAAATAAAAAATAAAAAAATAAATAAGTAAAATAATCTCCAGTTGGTATACTCTGTCACCACAATGGCTAGAAATCTCAGAAGTTGTAGATCAATTCACTTGGAGAGCACCAGTCTTAGAAGTTTAATCTAAAGACCACTCATGTTTTTTTGTATTTCATATGGAGTCTCATGAAGCTTGCAAATTTTTGAATAAAGTAGAAACCTGGCACAGAACTTTTCTGAACAAAGATACAAAAGTGGGGATGATGCCTTTTTTTAAAATTTGCCCAGCCCTAGTTTAACATACAGATGTCCCCAAGGTATTTAGAATACTCTGTTTGGGACATTCTAAGGAATTGATGGGAGACTTCATAAAACAGGCAAATGTAACATGTCACTTGGCCCGTAAGGCTAAGGACGCTGAAGTGTGGAAACTACTTATTATCCTGGGATCAATATGTAAAAACATGTTTCAACAAGTTTAAAAGATGCTTAGAGGGGGCTGGTTAGTGGCTTGGCTGAATCTCTTAAGATACTTTAAAAAAGAAATACACCAGGTTTGTTTTTCTTTTTCTCTTCAAAATTTGAGATCACTTACCTTCTATAAGACACTCGTCTGGGAATGGAATTTTCTTCCCCATCTCCATGACATATGCTTTCACTTTAGAGAGATTTTCTTTTAAGTGAAAGTAAAGCTTATCTTGATACTCCATGGGATTCTTTATGATCTTTGGGTTCTCTTCGTGGCAGTTTTCTTTAACAGGTTCTGGCAGATTCTCTGGTTCTGAACATTTGATACTTGGGCGTGAAAGTGAGGGTTGTTCCAGCTGGGACTCTTCAGAGATTGCACTGGAAGGCAATTTGTCGGTTTCTTGGCTCAAGTACAGATCAGTGAAAGAGATGCTGGCTGTAACATCTCCATTCTCCTCTTCTCCTTTGCTGTCTGTATGGATGTCCTTCATATGACCAGCATGCACTACTAAACTTTGGGACCTGCAGTGCAAACAAAGGAACGGACTTAAGGTTTGGGAATGGAGGCAAAATAGCCTAGGGACCAGAGGTGGTATTCAGCCAGTTCTCTCTGGTTCAGGCAAACCGGTAGCGGCAGCTGCGGGAAGCTCCACCCACCCGCCCTTAATGTGAAAGCACTGTGTATGTGCAGAAGGCAGTGCGCATGCGCAGACGCAATCACATTTTCAAACCAATAGGGAAGGTAAGTGAATCCCATTCCTGCTAGGGACCCAATTCAGATCTGTGGCCAAAATGGTTATTTCAGGGGAAAGAGCAGTCGCTTATTCTAAAGAGTTGCTTGTTCTATGTCCAGATATGGGGTTGTATTTTTAATACAAAGTAGAATGATTAAAATCTGACCCCCTTTTTTCTCTCTCTCTACAGCTTTAAGTGCAGAATCTGCTTCATATGTAAAGAACTATATTTCCACTTATGCTTTATATGCAGAAGGGGCAAATGCCTGCAGTTGCCCTGTTGGTCATGTTATTGCCATTGCATTTGTGAAGCTGCTCTGCCTTTCATTTAAAAAGGACATTTTTTTTAACCTGTCTGAAGGTTTGCAATATAACAGGAAAAGTGAAAGCAGAGGTGAAAACAGCTGGAGGGATATGAAAAAGAGGAGGGAGGGATCTCATGTAAAAGCTAGAGATGTCAGAGTAATCAGTGGTAGTTTAGTTCAAACTACAGATTACATGGGAACTGAGCTGGGATGTGCTTCACTTATTTTGTTTCTCAAATGTTAACAAAGTAGGCAGAAACATGTTCTTATATACAATGACTTTAAAAACTTTTATCAAATATTCATTCCTATCAAAACATTCCATACTACTCACTAACTCCCTACTATCAGAATTTGCACACCCTAATTTTTTTCAATTTTTCCATCTTAGGAAATCATCTATCCAAAATACATAAATTCATTTATTTGCTCTAGTTTTATACTACTTGTTGCAGCTCACAACCAATATAACATTTGCCTCGCTCTATTTCTCATCTAAATACTTTATATGATTGTCAAGTGAATACATAAACATATATATTTATGCTTCCAACCAATATACTGTATCTCTACTATTCCCTACACATTTCATCATAAATATATTAAACTGCCAAGTGGGAATTGCAATTACTCACTCCATTTTCCTTATCAAGGATATAGTAGCTGCAGTAGTCCTCGATTTACAATTGGTCATTTAACAAACTTTCAAAATTACCACAGTCTTGGGAATGGGGCTTACAGTTCTGTAAATCACTTCAGAACAAAATTACCACAGTCTTGGGAATGGCGTTTTACAGTCTGTAAATCTCTCCAGATCCTGAAGATGAAACTTAAATACTTTGGCCACCTAATGAGAAGGAAGGACTCACTGGAGAAGAGCCTAATGCTGAGAAATATTGAGGGCAAAAGAAGGGGATGACAGCGAATGAGATGACTGGATGGAGTCACCGAAGCAGTAGGCGTGAGCTGAAATGGACTCCAGAGGATGGTAGAGGACAGAAAGGCCTGGGTTGTCCATGGGGTTGCGATAGGTCGGACACGAATTCGCAATTAACAACAACAAACTGCTTTTGGATGCCATAAAATATTGTGCATGCCCTTCAATGATTACATGACCAGGTTTCAGATGCTTGGCAATCAGCATGCATTTATGTCTGATTGCAACATTGCATGTTCACATGATTATGATTTGCAATTTTTTTTGCCTCTTTTTTTTTTTTTGCAGTTCCTGGCACAATACTGGGAGAATGACTTTGCTTAATGACCATGTGATTAACTTAACAACTCCATGATTTGGACCTATGACGGTGTCCTTTGCTTAACAACTGCCATAAAAATGGTGGGGAAGATTGGGTCTGCTCACATGGATGCCTCAACTTAGAAATGCAGTGATGTATGACCAAAATCCCAGTCCCAGTTGTAGTCCTACATTGAGGGCTTATGGTACCTGGTCTTTGATACATTAATTTTCAGATTCAGGCTGCTGTTATATTACATGATCTATATGACATTTGCCTCAAATCATTCATGTTTTCAGATCACAATACAATATTATCCACATACCAAAATACATAAACATTCATGTCCCAGAAAACACACCATGGATATTCCTTATATATTGATTTATAACTTAGACCATTCTAGGATCAGGGCTTCGTATTATGATTATTCATGCCTTATGACTTTCAGATTGGACTACTGCAATGCATTCCACACAGGACTCACTCTGAAGATCACTCAGAAGCTTCAGCTGGTGCAGAATAAGGTGACATGGGCAGTTAATTGCACTGGTTATTCTGCTTATGTGACATCATTGAACCATGAGCTGTATTGTCTTCTAGTGTGCTTCCATGTGCAATTCAAGGCAGAATTCAAGGCAAACTCAAAGCCAAGAACTACCTTTAAAATCCTTCATGGCTTGGGATCGATTCATTTATCAGACTGTTTCTGTCTAATTGTGTGTAACTGTCCAGTAGAAAGGGTGTGCTGAAGGTACCATAAGGAGAGTTGCCTGACAAGCTCCAGGAGAAGAGCCTTACAATTAACTGATACGACAGAAAATGAGGTGACTAGATGGAGGCACCGAAGCAGTAAGTGTGAGTTTAAATGGACTCCAAAGGATGGCAGAGGACAGGAAGGCCTGGAGGAACGTTGTCCATGGGGTCACGATCGGTCGGACACTACTTCACAACAACAAAATCAANAATCCCAGTAAGGATATGACTAGCTGATGAGAGCTAAATAGCTTGAAATAGATCTATACTAGTCTCCCTTTATTCACTTATCAGCACAAATACAACACAAATGTAACAAAGGTAACAGTAAAAATATTGGGTTTCTATCTGGATGGTCTCTTGTGATGAGCTGATGGACAGAGAATGGAAGTAGTAAACTTCCTCCCATATTTGGGCATACCAGGGGTTGTGACTTTAAATGTATACCTATGTTCCCTGACTCAGCTGATAAGGAGAAGAACCTTGTGGCTTAATGGTTAACACATCTACCTAAGATGCAGTACAGCACAGGTTCTAATCCTAGTAAGGGTATGGCTATCTGATGACACACACACACACACACACACACACACACACACACACACACACACACATGTTTTCATAGATTTTCATGGGTACAGATATGGTGTATTCGGGTCTTTTCCCATGTACGATTGAGAGCATCTTGGCGAAGTTTTGATGAGGTCCCACTCGCCATCTTCAGGCTGGTTAGTGGGACCTCGTCGAAACAGCGCCAAGATACTCTCAATTGTACATGGGAAAAGACCCGAATATGCCAGGACCTGTGTGTGTGTGTGTGTGTGTGTGTGTGTGTGTATATAAGAATATCTCCCTCCATTAAAATATACAGTTATCCCATTCAGAGCCTGATCTAAAAAATAATTGAGAAACGGGGTTCATCTTCTGATTATTTACATCTCAGCAGGTTTCACACTCTGCTGCCAGTAATAATGAAAACATCATTTTTGGGGTCCAGACATTATTTTCCTTCCATTATATTTTCATATCAGGCAACTGCAAGGAAAATATGTATAAAACCACTACTGTAATTAATAATCACTTTTTTTCTGCTGACATCCTGCCAACAAAGGATCCTTTGAAAAGCCGCAATGTGTACAGTTTTATGTATTTAAAATATTTATATAAAGCTGTTCGGAAGCTGGAGACAGGTTGGAGAGTAGTTGCAGAGAGTCTTTCCTTCTCCTAGACCAGTGAGGGAGAACTTTTTCAGTACCGAGTCCCAAACTGGACTGCATGTGAATGTGTGCATGTGTGCGTGCCGGAGTGCCGGAAACCCAAAGACCAGCAGGCCAGCACATGCATCCAAGAAGAGAAATGTCTTCAAAAGAAAAAATAAGGAAGTCTGGTTGCCTCCTGAAAAAGCAACTTTGGGACAACCATGGCTTGGATGACTGAGGATCTCTACAGATGAAGTGGTTTTAGGAATGGCTGTGGAGTTGAGGAGGGAGGCTTCCCCAGAGTTGCAGTGCTCTTACTTGGGGCTTTGTGGTCTCCCAGCCTTGCCTAGCTCTTTTGGACTTGTGGAGCCTTGTGGGTTTGCTGACCAGCTCATGGTATGGCAATGATAGGAAGTGGTCAGAGTGATTGTGTGGCTGTGGCAAGCTGCAGCTTCCTTAAAGGGACAAACAACAGTTGTGTGGCAAGTGAGTGGTGAGTGGACAACAGGGAAACAGGCCATCAGTGGTAATTGGAGCCTTTCAGATAAGTGACCAGCAACTGAACAGCCAGAATCCCTTTGAGTGGCCGGAACAGAGGTGAAATTCAGCAGGTTCTGACAGGTTCTGGAGAACCACTAGTGGAAATTTTGAGTAGTTTGGACAACTGGCAAATACCACCTCTGGCTGGCCCCAAAGTGGGGTGGGAATGGAGATTTTGTAATATCCTGCCCCTGCCACGCCCACCAAGCCACACCCACAGAACCAGTAGTAAAAAAAAGTGAATCTCACCACTGGGCCAGAGCAACCAAGAAGCATTTGGTGGCCTCCTTGAAGACCCAAAACACAGCCTAATGGTTAGTGAGAAGCAAACAGTTATGAATGGATGGGCACACACTGGAGCTGGAACCTCCCAGGCAAGCAGCAGGAGACAGAGGGGAGGATGTGCACAGCATTCAGATGGCAAAGAGTGGACAGTCAAGTAGGCCCAAATTGGTGATTGGAACTTCCTGGAGGAGCAACTAGTCAAGCCACCCAAGCAGATTCTTCCATGCAAGCCGCCTGCTTAAGTGGTTGGAATAAACCTGGACAGACAGCCAGACAAGTGACAAGTGGCCAGACAAACAGCTGGAGCAGGTAAGTGGTGAGAGCCTTAATGAGCAGTGGATACAGCAGGTGAGCATAAGTGACCCAAGTTAAATTTGATCTTGTTGGACCTGAGGAAATGTACAAGATCCTTGGAACTATAAATGCAATCACCTGTGAATTAGATACATGCTCCTCCTGCGTGGCCAAAGCCAGCTAGGAGGTTTACATGTGGTGAGTCCTAAGTATGGTTAATTCATCTTTGAGAGATGAGGTGTTCT